AGCAAGAAAGACACTAGCTTCTTGTTCCAGGTGCTTTTTTTAAATTTTAACTAACAGTAAGCTAGACCCGTGTTGTCTTAGACCTGGGATGTGGTGTGTCCTGAGTGTTTAAATTTAGATGTTTTTACAAAATGTTCTTCTTCTTCTTCTTTTTTTTTTTTGTTAAGGAAAAACCTGTCCAGTAGCATCTCCAAATAAATCACTACAAAGGTATAAGGCTGTCCCCTCCTGTTCAGGACAGCCAAATGTGACACACTGCTATTAACTAATGACCGTTTAACCTCAACCCCCACCAGTAAGGAGGAGGAAACAAATAGGTTCTATTTTAAATGAATTTGTCCACGTGAACCTGTGCAGTAAAAAAACGATATGACAATAGACGGATTATCACGATGTTTGTAAAGCAATCGATAATTGAACAAAATTGTGGGTCACATTTTTGCTTGTGGCCGTGACCATCAAGATTAAAGGCAGCAGAGGTCACGTGTGTGTTTAAGAAATGTGTTGGCCTAACACCTCGTGTGTGTGTTCAGTGCTGCTTGGCTTCCATATGGGTACCACACGCTTGGCAGGGATGCCCAAGAGTGTACGGTGCCTTCTCTGTTTTCTATGCATTAATAACACAAGTGGGGACAGAAGAGAGTTTGGCTAGACTTTGAATGAGGAGTAGGATCTGGGTAGAGAAGAAGGAAGTAGGAGGGATGTGGGCCCCACAAAGCCTTGGGGGTGAGGAAAGCATCCCCACCTGTGGTCCAGTGAGGAGGTGAGGGCTGGTCAGAGTAGAAGCGGGGAGTAGGAGGGGGTGTCGCCTGGTAGGTTGTGAGAGACCCTAAGGCCCAGATACTGAACTGGCGCTTTGTTGTACGGGCAAGGAGGAACAAGAAATATGTCAGAGCACGTGCAAGAGCGAGGACTAATACCAGCCCTGGGAGGGACGATGGCCTACTCTGACCTTTGGCAGACAGCCAGTAAAGGAGGCGGAGGGAAGTGTCGTGCTGGGATTAAGCCCTGGAGGGCAGAGTGCCATGGAAATCAGAAAGGGACATCGGGAGGATGGGGGCGGGGTTACCAAGCTGTGAAAGGTCTCAGATTTGAAGGTGCATGAGAAGCGGTGTCCCTGGCTGAGGTCAGGCAGGTGGGCCTGACCAGGCCTGTCAGGAAGGAATGGGTGCTGGGGAGCCCAATGGCAGGTGGAGGTGACTGAGCCACAGACAACCCAGGTAGGAGGGAGGTGAAGCAGTTCAGAGGGGGCCCCTGGCTCCGCCCAGCACCCACACCCTGAGATGGGGAGAACTGCATGTGTTCAGGGCTGGAACAAAGATGCAGAAAAGAAACAGTCATGAAGTGAGGTCCCTTGGGTGTCAGGGATCTGAAACCCAAGAAGCTAGCCATCCTTGGGACTGAGAAGATCTCCTGAGCTTCTGGGGCACCGTGGGAACATGACCGACAGGGTGGATGTTCAGCAGAGGGGGGAGCTCTGGCTCTCGCTGGAGCCTGGGGCTAGGAGGTGTGGAGGGGCTTTGGAACTTCTGGTCACGAGCTGGGCTGGATGGGGCAGGAGTCCAGAGACTAAGGCAGCAGGAGATTTCTGCTAAATGTGCATCTTGAACTGGGAAGAGCTGTTTCTCCATCCGCTCTCCACCTCCTGAGAGCAGAGAGGTAAACAGGGGTGCCCACCCCCCACATGCGACTGGCACGTTGGACTTGACTGGGGCCTTAAGGAGGCAAGGGAGCCCGTTGGCCATGTGCCCTGGGGAGGGCAATGACAGGATGGGAGTTTCCTGCCCCACTTCTTCCTTGGAAAGGATCCCATAATGCATATGTAGTAATCATTTTGCAAGTGTCTCCAGGGAAGTATTTTATTTCACAAGAGCAGATGTTGAAACAGGGTTGGTTCCCTTTGGCCACTGGACTCCTCTGTTCTGTGGCCCAGGTGAAGTGCTGATGGCGTACTCAAGTGAATACGTGGGGTGGGTCAGAGCCTGCTGCCACTTGGAGCTGAGCACAGGGGTGTCCCCAGCACCTGCGCTTGAGCAGTAGCTAACATCTGTTTTTGTACTTTCTTTTAGTTTGACTCAAGGCCTTGACCCACAGGACCTTGTGGGCATTTTTACATAGTCTGGGTGACCTTGGCAAGAGCAAAGCCCATAGATACAGAAGGCGGATTTAAGAAGCAGCTTCCACATCCGCAGCAGATGTGAGGGGTCCACAGGCAGCCCGGGCCACGGGAGTGAAATCCTCTGGGCGCCCTGGCTTCTGGTTGGCTTTCAGAGAAAATGAACAACAACAGACCCAGAGGGGGGAAACGATAGGATGTGGGACCCCCAGGTGAGTAATGGCACCTCACCTGTTCCTTCCCTCCCATGCTCAGCTGTCCTATGGCTCCAACAGAACCCTGTTTCTCAGGCCCTCGCTCCACAGTTACTCTGCCATGCCCAGTTGATTTGGTGTGGGCTGGTGAGTCAGAGTTCAAGGCAAGGGACAGGATCCCTGTGCAGATGCAAACCATCTGTGCCCAGCCTGAGCCAAGTCCTCCCGAAATCCACTTCTCCGAGCCGTCTAGTCCCATTGCCCCTTCTTGGGGCTGGGCTTATAAAAGCCTGAGCTTGTCTTGTTTGCAGAACACACTGATTACTAAATGGAGCAGAGAGCGCAGAGCGGGGAGGCCATTAACCCACAAGGTGCCTGTGAACCACAGAGAGAATCTATGGTTCGCTTGGTCCCCGAAACCTGGAGTCACCTGCAAGCTGAGAGCCTTAGGAGCAGTAACTCTGGTTTCTTCTATGGGGCATTAGGAACCTGAGTTGTTAGGTTTGGAAAGTGTGATTTTTTTTTCCCCCCTTGATCTTTGTGTTAGGTCTTCTGAGAACTCCAGATGGCCTCACCAGGGACAACCTTGATTACTCTTGGAAGGGAGCTGCTTTTATGCAATTTCCCTGGAACCTGCAGGTTGAGATAGGGTGCCAGGGACGATAAGGCACAAGGTTAGGAGTAGTGCTACCCAAAGCTTGGCTTCCATCTGTTGGGTGACCTTGAAAAAATCCCTTTACTTGCTCACTATGGGGTCAACCTGTGGACCCATGGGTGGTCTGGCTGTTTGCTGGTGGAACTCAGAGCAGAGCTGGGAGGCTGTGGGGTGGGCGGGATCTCTCCAGGAAAGGGCTTTGAACTCCTTGCACAGAAAAGCAAGATAAGGGACGTCCAGTGATCAATGCTCAATCACGTTGTAATTGTTCTTTAGGCTCCACCGGAGCCCAGAGACCCCTTGTGAGCTCCAGGCTCAGAGTATAAAGCACTGCATGAACATTCCGGCTTCCCCCGACCTGCAGACTTTTCTTAGCCACTGTATTGCACTAGTTCTGCTTCTTGTGTCAAGGGACATTTAATTTGATTTATCTTTGGTCTGGGTTAGGCTGAGTGAAGTCAACTAGCCAACAGATCTACAGTCATTTCCGGGGAGGAGACAAGGCTCAAGGGCAGGTCTCTAGCAGTTTAATCCCCCCATTGAGGGGAACCCAAGGTTTGGATTTGAAGAGGACGTTGTATGTCTACACAGCCGTCCTTCCTTGGCTCTCAGAAGCCTTCCAAGGCAGAGTTCATGGACTGTCATGAGCTTTCAGTTTTGACCTTGATTAGAAAAGGGTGGTTATGAGGAAAACCAACGCTTTTCTACTTTTGTTTTGGATGTGCTCTGTGTCTTAATAGCTGTTGGGTCTGATCTGCAATATTAATACTGTCAAGTTTTGTGTCCGTCTCTTCTATGCACATCTATTTATTTATTTATTTATTTATTTTAGGATCAGATGTCTTAGCTGTCACCTGCTGCAGACAGTGTTGAATCTTAATACAGAAAAGCAAAATAAAAAAAAAAAAATAACCCAAACAATAGTTTCAATAGCTTTTTTTTTTTTTTTTTTAACTTGAGATCATCTCTCATCTGAACAAGAAAGGCTGTATCTAGAGCAGGTCCCTAGGAGACTGTTTTTCCCGTAGACTAGGAGAATTCTTTGCATGGTCCTTTCTCCAACCTGTATCCCACAGAGACTGGAAATCTCAGACCAACTCCAAATTCAACCCACGACTCCCGACTCACGTGTCTTGCTCCCCGCAACATAGTTATTTTTCAGAGAAAAGGAACCTGGTGGCACTGATTGTTGCTTCTTTCCTGCAATCTGGCTCTGAGGCCTGCAATCTCCCCTCCTGGCTAACAGCAGAGCTAATGACTCCCTGTCCTGATCTGTTGCCTTGCTCCTGAGGAGGGTCCAGCAGAGCTGGACACTTTCCTAGCATGACTTTTGGGGTCACAGGAGATGGCCTCTTCTATTTCTATAGCCCTGACATCTGTCCTCCTTCAAGCTATTCCAAGCCTTTGCATTCATTTTGCCACAAAAATATCTGGAGAGAGGACCCTGGAATCACGGCCTGCATTTCCTCTCTTCTCATCCACCCAACACTTTATTTCATGGTGGCTTTTGCCTATCACTTGCCTGAAATTGCTCTGGCAAAAGTTAGCAAGGGTCGGGCATGGTGGTGCCCACCTGTATAATCCTAGCAGCTTGGGAGGCTGAGGCAGGAGGATCGTGAGTTCAAAGCCAGCCTCAGCAATGGTGAGGCACTAAGCAACTGAGACCCTGTCTCTCAATAAAATACAAAATAGAACTGGGGATGTGGCCCAGTGGCCCAGTGCCCCTGAGTTCAATCCCTGTACTACCCCCTCTCCCATCAAGAAAAGTTAGCAAGGACCTAGTTGCCAATCAGATGGTTTGGGTAGGCATCCCTAACCTGTGGACTCTGAATGTGGACGGAGAAAACACTTTACTTTTTGTTAGCTTAAAACTGAAATTTGGAATTTCCTTTAATTATGAATGGAAGTAATAAAACATTAGAATATTAACGTGAAAGGTATTGCAGATATATATATATATATACTGGGGATGCTTTACCCCTGATCTACTCCCAGCTCATTTTATTTTTTCTTTTGAGACAGGGTCTTACTATGTTGCCCAGGCTGTCCTTGAACCTTCGATCCTCCTGTCTCAGCTTCCTGAGTAGCTGGGATTGCACGTGCACACCACTGAGCCTGGTTAGTATAATGTATTAGTATTCAGATAACTATATTTTACTATAAGTGGTTTTAGTTATTACTGAATATCTTGTCTTTGATGTATTTAATATTATTATTTTGTGGGGTCCACAGTCCTCACCAGAATGTCAAAGAGGTCCCTGGTTAAAACAAACACAAAAGCAAAAATGACAAAGAAACCCGATATTAATCATTAGCCAACAGATGTCTGGGTGTTTCTTCTAAGGGCCTCCCACTGCAAGCTCTTTCTCTGCTGTTTTTCATTACTCTTTCCTAACTCAATTTATTATTTTTCCCTTAGTTCATGTCTTTCATTTAAGGTTTTCCCATGATCCTGATCTCCCCCCTGCCCCTGCCCCTCCACACAGAGTGGGCAGTTCTGTAGGGTAGAGACAAGTGACTAGGCCATCACGGTGCAGTCTGCTGTGTGCTACAGACACTTAGGGGACACTTGGAGAAATGCCTAATCCAGTCTTGAGAGGTGGGACAGACTTGTCATCAGAGGTGACCCCAGGCTGTCCTGGAGGGCCATGTAGACTTAACTAGGCTTGGTGGTAGGAATGGGGGGATGGCTACCAAGGACTGGTCAGAGGGCAACGGTGGCCAGACTGTGGAATGCTCTTCAAACCAAATTAGGAGTAGCCACCAAAGGGATTTGAGAGCTGTGTTTTACAGAGATTTCCCTGGCTCAGAGTAAAGATGGGTTGGAGGGAGGAGGTCTAGAGATGAGGGAAGAGAGGCTGACAAACTGCCCTTTGCTCATTCATTAATAAAAAAAAGTATATATATATATATATATATATCTCTGTGTGTGTGTGTGTATGTGTATACATATATATATATATATATAATTTTTTTGGTATTGGAGATTGAACTCAGGGGCACTTAACCACTGGGCCACATGCTGGGCACTGTGTGTGTGTGCCTGTGTGTGTGTGTTTTGATTTTATTTCGAGACAGGGTCTCACTGAGATGCCTATGGCCTCAGTAAGTTGCTGGGGCTGGCTTTGACCTCATGATCCTCCTGCCTCAGCCTCTTGAGCTGCTAGGATTATAGGAGTGGGCCACCGTACTGGGCTCCTTAGCTCATTCTTGAGTGTATCACACGTGTCCATCCTGTGCTCATGCTTTCCTGCTGCCTAAGATGCCCTTCCAGCACATCCAATGCTCCTGGACAGCTGGGGTCCATCTCCTGGGCTTCATCCTCTCTCCTGAGTTGCCTGACTTCACCACTGTGTTCCTGGAGGAAATTCAGAGTTTTTTTCCCTTAATGACTCTGGTTCTTATCTCATCCTTAAGTTTCTTGAGGGCAGGGACTTGGCCTTCTTCATCTTTATATCCCTGGCACCTAACATGTTGCTGGGTCCCTAGTAAATCCCTTGAAAGGAGCCAGACTAAGGGACGGAAAGTGCAAGGAGGCTCTAGAATTTGTCCAAAAATATGTAGCAAAGACAATCTGAGAAACCCCTTAGAGCTGTCCACAGAGTCATTCGATCTCAGGATAAGAAGGTCATCAGTGGCCTTTTTATTTCTTTTTTAAACAAAATTCCCCCTCCCTTCTCTTTCTCATTCCTTCCTTCTTCGTTTCTTTCTTTCTTGGGGAAACCTTTGATTTTCGTGGAGAAGACGAATTTCCCCCAGGATGAAACAGAAGAGACTAAGAAAAGGGGCTGAATCTCAGCCAAGGTAAGCTACAGGTGAGAGGCAGAGCCTCAGGAAACCTGGCCCCTGGTGGCTTGCCCTTGCCCAGGGCTGGCTTCCCTTGGGGTGGGCGGGGGGCAATGGCAGCTCCCTCCCAGCCTCCACCCCCAAGCTGGTCAACACCCTTGAGGGCCTCCATCATTGTTGGAGGAGGGGTGGATGTGGTGGGCCCTCATCTGGGTCTCAGGTTCTAGGTGACACAGAAGGACAATGAGGCACAGACTGTATACTATAGCTGTTTCCCAGGGATCTCCAGGCTCAAAATGGAGGAAAAAAAAAAAAAAGTGAAAGGTTCAAGTTCCTTATGCAGGTGGTAGCCAGAGAGCAGAGAACCCTGGGATAGAAAAGAATGTCATTATACAGGTGGCATTATAGACTTGCTGTGACCTCAGGTGAGGGGAGAGGGGCTACTAGAGGGCTGGAAGGGATGACTGTACATACAAGGGACTCTTACTGTCTACCACGGAGACCGCGGGTCACTTACCAGAATCAGCCTTCTTTGCCTTCCTTCAGGACCAGGAATAAGTGGTGGTGGTGTGAGAGCGTCAGCCACCGAGGAGGCGAATGGAACAATCCTTCTTCTCAGGGTCCCCAAAGGAAAACTGAGATAACTCCCAATGGCAAACTAGGCAAGCCCAGTTCGTGTGGAACCAGCCCTCCGGTGAAGACTCCTTCTCTTCTTGCCTTAGCGACACTTTGCTGGGAAGGCTCAGGACTCACTGGTTGGGCACCTCATAAAGCAAGTTGTTGAACTCTCTGGGTTAGAAAAACTGAGGGGCATAATGTTCAACGAGGTATGAAAAAGAAGGGGGTCCCAGTGGCTCAGGAGGCTGAGGCAGGAGGATTGCAAGTTCAGAGCCAGCCCCAGCAATTTAGCAAGGCCCTAAGCAACTTAGTGAGACACTGTCTCTAAATAAAAATAAAAAGGCTGAATATGTAGCTCAGTGATTACGCACCTTGGGTCTAATCCTTATGTGGGTGTGCACACATAAAAAGGGGGGTAAAATTTAAGAAAACTTTGGGCTGAGATTTTGGCTCTGTGGTAGAACACTTGCCTAGCATGTGTGAAGCACTGGGTTCGATTCTCAGCACCTCATAGAAATAAATAAAATAAAGGTCCATTGACAACTAAAACATATTAAAAAAAAAAAAAGAAAAGAAAACCTTGGCTTAGCTGGGTACAGGCGCACACCTGCAATCTTAGCAACTTGGGAGGTTGAGGCAGGAGGATTGCAAATCTGAGGCCAGCCTCAGCAACTTAGCAAGACCCTGTCTCAAAATAAAAAATAAGAAGGGCTGGGGACATTACTAGTGACACAGTGCCTGCCAAGCGAGTCATCCTTTTTTGGAATTAGACTGGATACCGTTGCCCTCCTTTCCTGGACTTCATGGATTTTCAGAAGATCCTTGCTTTTTATCACTATAGCTCTTAAGAACCTGGCTTCGCAAAGCTCTGGCATCATCGGAAGGAGTGGGGCACAGTCTACCGTCAGTGTGTGAGTTAGCGGCGTCGGGGAGGTGCTGAGCTGGTGAGAGTCTGTTCTGGCTGGGCCCCATCTGACAATGTTGAGTGTGGTGTGTTTTCCTCAAATTTAAAGCAGCCTGCAGCAGCCCTTTGAGTTGGGTTTGACTTCTTGGGGGTGTCTCCCTGCCCAGTTTGGAATTTTGCATTTAGAAGGCAGACCGGGGGCCTGGGAGAAAACGAAAGAGAAAGTAAGTGCTGCCCAAAGGGCTCGACCCCAGCCAAACCCACATTTGCCACTTTCATAAGACAAAGGCCCTTGAGGGCAGTTAGCCGTAGAACCATCCAATAATCAGGTCCTGCGGAAGTGGACCGGAGGTTTAAAGCTCTGCTCTGACGCTTGTCACAGGAGCCTAATTTGATTTAAATTAATTTTAGTGAAACAAATCTAAAATTTTAGTTCCTTGGTCTCCTTAGCCACATTGCAAGTGCTCTACAACCTGGCACAGAGGTCAACGGCCCCACTACCACAGACTTCCATGGGACGGTGCCGCTCTGCTCTGAAGCAAGGGTCAGCAAGCTACACCCCACCAGCCCAAACCAGCTGCTGCCTCTTCTTATATAGCCTGCGACCAAAGGGTGATTTTTAGTGTTTTTATGTGGTTGCCAAAATTTTGTGGTGAATGGTTTTCTTTCTTTGTTCTCGAAGTAACTACAAATATCCTTGTTTCTGCTTCGTGGTTCATACCATCTGAAATATTCTCCAGATCTTTCTAGAAAATGTTTGCCAACCCCTGGTCTCAAGCAGCTTCAAACTACATTTGAGAAAACTGAGGCCTAGAGACCGATGTGACACACACAGCTCGGAAAGGGACAGTTGTCAACTTGGGCCTTTGTTTCACCTGCTCTTTTACTCTGTCCTGACCTCTTTTCTTCTAAGGGTCTCTGTTTTAGTTCATCCAGCAAATAACACGATGGCTTCCTTTTATGGATTGCGAACGAGAGAGGGAGTGATTGATTTTTTGAAAAGACATTGATTGACGTTCACTTGGAGTTCACCAGGAGGATCACAGGGTCAGAGCCCAGTGTTTCCAAAGGGCGTCCAGTGTAGACTCCGGGTTCTCCTCTCATGCAGCTGCAGATACAGAAGCAACCAGATGGCGTTAAAAGATGATCGACATCATTTAGTTTAAAACTCCCGCACTGCCATCAGACCGCGCTGCCTGTGATGATCTATGCATTAATATTTTTTTAAAATCCTTTAAATCTTATGATTAGTGTCCTTGATGTTTCAGTAGATTCATGTGGTGAGTTAAAAGCCTTAATTTGTCAAATATAAACACTTTAAATACACTGCAGTTTTAATAACCCTGTTGGGCATTTCCTCATTTTAACTTTAATTTAAAAAAAAAACGCAGCAACATCTCGAAATTTGAAAGTGGCTCGAGTGACCTTGACTGTCTTAAGCGATGGCACATTTAAGCAGATCCTCTGCAGATGGTTGGGTTGCAGGAAGGAGCGGTACCACCTACAGCCCATCCCTGTGATTTGCAAGTTGCGTATTTACAAATTTGCCCTACTTTCAGATTTCTACTTGTAACCCCAGGATGTGGTCATGTGGAAGATCAAGTTGGTCATGAAGATCCTTTTGGCTGTGTTACAACCGTGTGGGTTTGGATTGGTGGGGGTGGGGGTGGGGCCGCCGTTACTCTCTACCTGGAAATTACAGTGTGTACCAGGAAGGAAAGAATTCCTTAAATCCAGGGTAGATGGATATGAAGGTGAAAAGAGAGCTGCTTGGCTCTTGGGAAGCTGGGATCATGAGCAAATATCTAAAGGGAAGGAGATGTAAGGCAATTTATCCACTGATTGTTCAGGTTTCTTGCTGGGGACCAACAGGGTTTAGACCCAGCAACTGGGCGTATGCTCAGGTTCTGAGGATGCGTTCCTTAGGAGGTCTCTTTTTAAAATTTCTCTTCTTCTTTAAAAGGGGGGAAGTTCCTCGAGGTTATCGAGAGCACAGGAGCTTCTTTCTGAGCTCCGGAACATTTGTGAGAAATGGAACTTGCACGTGTCTATTTGGAAGCCTTCCTGGAGCCTGCTGTATCCTAACTCGTCAGTGTCAGCGCTGCCTTCTAACTCTGTGCTGCTTTCTGTGGCGTCTTCTGAATTAGCATCAGGTTTTTGTCAAACATGGAAATGTTCTCCTAAGGGGGATGCCGCTTCCTAAAATCTACAGTGTGTGTGCGCGCGTGCATGTGTGTTCGCCTGAGATTGTGGAAGGAAACCTTGCGCAAATCCCAGACAAGCAGAGGTCACCTCTCCAGGACAGATCGGCCTGAGCTCTGGAAAACTAGGACCCACACCATCTGACTTGGCGAAAGCAGTATGTGTGGTGTGAAAGCCCTGACTTCCTCTGCCCCAGCCTACCTGGGCTGGTTCCCTATGGCATTAGTAGGACAACCATCTCCCAGTTGCCCACGCCCTCTTCTCTCACTGACCACATCCAACGGGAACATCCCAATGTCATGCACTCACCGTAGCCGCTGCCAAATCCTCGAGAACATGCCCTCACATTTTTACTCACCCATTTTTAAAGTCTCCAAACATGGCTTCTGTCCCCAGTTCTCTCTCTCTTTTTCCTTTAAAATGTTCTGGTCTCTTTCTGATTTAAGACTCTGGAGATTCCTTGTCACAGTCCGGACAAAGGCCATGCAACCACGTATGATAAAGACTCTAGGGCCTCGTGCATGCTGAGCACGCGTTCTGCACTTCCCCAGACCCTTGGCCCCAACAACCTCTCTCTTCTTAATTGTTAACTTACTTAGCAAAGTTTGGTGCTTTGCCTTTTTCTGGTTCTTTTGTCTAGAATGCTCTTCCTAAGTTCTCTGCTTGGGAAAGTCCCATTTGGTCTTAAGATCTGTCTCCAGGGCTTCACTTCTCTTCCATAGATGAGAATAAAATATTTAAAGACGAGCGTGATTGGGTTCTAAGCAATTAGGACAGAAGCCATGAAGGGAGTCTGCACAGCCTTGCTTCAGCGTGCTGGGTGCCCACTGTCTGGGTCTACCCCACCCAGCACAGTGTGCATATCCTCCTTTGTGCCACCCAGGTCCTTGTGGAGGTGCACAGTGCCAATCCTGTATTCATTCAACAAGCGTTTCATAATTGCCTGCTCTGTTTAGACCCTGGCTAGATGGTGATAAGATGGGAAGGAATGAGACGGTGCTTTTGGTCTGCTGTGGTCTCATCTGACAGCATTTAAACCGTGTGATTATCTTCTATAGGAGCATGAGGTCCTTGGAGGGTGGGGACCAACTCTTTTCTCTTAGCTTCCCAGAGATCTGGCTGGTGCCTGGTACACAATGTGCTCAGTCAGTGTTTGTGGAACGAGGGCCTCCGACTGGGATCCACAGCATCTGGACTCATTGTTGGGGGTGTCAAGGTGTTAAATTGATTCAGGGGGCTGACCAGTCATGAACCCAAGGGCTCCAACTAATGGTAGGGGATGATGTTTATTTATAAAGGGGTAACTTCTAGAAACAGTTTATTTGCCTCGGCTGTTTCTAATTCAGCTTTCCCCCCCCTCTTTCTTCTTGTTCTTCTTTGAATGGAAAAATGTCACCCACTCACTGGTTTTATATAGCTCCCATTGAAGTAGAACTCAATGGAAATCGTGCCTATTAATTAGAAACCCAGAATGTGGGCAGCTTTTGAACTGCTAATTAAAACACTTACCAATCAGTTTGCATTTGTGTTTTTTAAACCTCTTTCTTTTCCTGAACCTAGAACTTTCACCTACCAGAGAAGATGAGTTTTAAAAAGGCAATTGCTAAGAGTGATTGTATCAGGTTTTCAAATACCTCCAGTGAAATCTCAGGGCCGGGTGTCTTCCTAGCACTCAGAAGGTTGTTAGCGGGGGCTACAGAGGACACAAGTGGCCTCCCAGGTCCCCTCCCTTAGGGCCTCTTGTGACTGCTGCCAGAGGCCCCTCCGTGGGTAGCATGGCCACATCCTTCCTTTTCGGGCAGCTCAAGTGGGGACTACCTCTGCAGGTCCTAGGAGCTGCAGGCTCCAATGGGGCCTCTGAAGTTGGGGCGCTTGCTCTGCCCATTTCTACTTTCTCTGGGAAACCAAATGAATCCCCTGAGGACAGAAGACAGAAGGGTCTGAGGACTCAGGCTCTGGCCCCTGCTCCGCCTTCTCTCAGGGCCTGGCAGCTTCTGCAGAGCCCATGGATGCTGACGCTTGCTCAGGAGCGTGGCTTTCTGGGCACGGTGCCACGGACTCACACAGGATCCCCTATTCAGCCCCAGACTGCATCCCACCTGACTCTTGTAGGAGTGGCCCAGCAGGGCTGCCCTTGTGACTAGAGTCAGAGTTTGCGTGG